AAAGCCATGTCTTTAGGGCGCGGCGGAAGGAGGGGAGATCTGGGATCACCCGGATCTCTGGGGGTAGTTCGTTCCAGAGGGTGGGGGCTCCCACCGAGAAGGCCCTCCCCCTGGGGGTCGCCAGCCGGCACTGTCTGGCTGACGGCACCCTGAGGAGACCCACTCTGTGGGAGCGTACCGGCCGATGGGAGGTAACCTGGCTTCAATCCCTTAACTTTCACTTAAAATGTCTTAAGTGGTTAAAAAAAAGGTTTGCCAGTTGAGGTACATACTTTATGTGGCTTGGTTTAAATCAGGTTCATGTGTTTTATATTATTATATAAATTTATATTCTATATCTATAAAATATCTCTGGAGACTGTGTGTGTGTGTGTGTACATTTGGATTTAGCTGGGGAGCTAATGAAGAAGAAATGGTCCAATAAACTGTATGTGCACATTGCCCTTACACATTTATAAAGCATCTCACTAGATTGCAATCACTGTTTCTGCATGAGCAGTTTGCCTAATAGTTGTGAGTAATTTTTCATACAAGTAATGATATATTTTCTCTCCCTTAAAGAGAAAAATATACCAAAATAAAGTCCAAGGAGGAAAATACTCAGAGATTAATTGATTTTCTCCATGCCCGGCTGGATGCTGTTAGAAAAAAAATAAAGATAGACAACAGAGTATTTGATGAGCTGCTGTGGAATAGACAAAATGATTTGAAAATTAAGAAGGTTTGTGCTATTTACATTATTATTATGTTTCATTTTTCTTGATAAAATGATTATGTACTAAAGTTAAATTGATTTCCTTGAGAAAAGTATATCAAACAATATATGGGCACTCTGATGAACCATCTTGGGGGAAAAACATTAACCAAAAGACACATGTCCTTCCAATATGGACACTTATTTGTTTCTTATTAATAGTTTTCCTATGAAGGGTCCATGCTCATTTAACTTGTTTCTACCTAATGGTATATATATGAATGACCATGAGAAATACAATCAAGAGAACTGTTGGAGAAAAGGCAGCTGAGCTCATTAACAAGAATGTGGGTAGGAGGAGGGGCTCAGAAGAAATCTTCTCTACTTTTCTTGGGCTGTAAAGGTGGGGGAGAGACATATTCTTTTCAGAACTTGCAAGTTTCTATTAATATAGCTTTACAATAATGTAAAACTAGCTCTTCTGGTTTTTTGTCTCGTCTACCTTAAAGCTGATACTAACAGAACTGAGAAATTGGAGAACCATTAGATTTCATATGTGAAGTTCCAAGTATAAGCTAAGTGAGTTTCCACATGATGAGTTCTGTGGCTGTATAATGCTGATACAAAGCCATACAAAAGTATCAGTGCAAAGTTGATCATAGATTGGATATATATGCAACCCCAACATAGGACTTTTTTTTTATTTCAGCCAGATTGCTTAGTGGAGTTGATGAAGATGATGGTTGATCTAAGCTTCCCCAAGTCATAAACATGCAGTCATAGAGCTATTCCCTGCTTTTAAAATATGTATCTCATTTTCCTATTCTAGAGAGTAAGAAATATAGTCTTCTAAAGAAAGTCCTGGTTGTTTTTCTTTGCATTTTTTCTTCTCAGACTATGTTTGGCATTTAAAATGGGTCCCCTAAGCTTTTTCAGAAAATGATGGACAAATAGATCTAAGCCCTTACTGAACCACGCTATGCAGTGGATGAATTTTGTCTTGTCACTTTTTTTCTTACCAATCTACCTCACAAGCAAGGTTGTATCATGCTAGTGAGAGTGTGTTGTGGGATATTGAAACAAATCTGTATCTTATATACTTGCATTTGTCATTGAATTGAGTGTGTGTTGCATTACAACGTTTGTAATTTTCCCCTCTTGCCTGTCCTTGCCCATGCTCACAAAGTTGTTGGGACAAGAACAAAAATGAAAAGTGATCCTAGATCTTTACAGAGATAGTGGATAATTGTAATCAACCATTAAAGATAAAAAAATATTCTCCAGAACTTTTTGGAAGACTATAGTGGAAATAGAATAGTATCTTCCATTCTGTTAACAGTAGCCTCCATTGTATTTTAGTTATTTCCACAAATAAAATGTGACTTTTATTTTCTTCTAGATTACTCCTTTGTATTTTAGTAGCAGCATACTAAAACTACTATACTTTAGTAGCATAGAGTGCATTTGGTCAGTGGTGATTGTCTCACTAGCTGCAAACTTTCTTGTGCAAGGACTCTATATTTGGTGGCCTAGAACACTGAAGTACACTCTACAGAGGCCTGCTCTTGAAAATGCAGAAGCCACAGTTAGTGTAAAATGTGGCAATAGGGCTGCTTATTGGAATATCTTTCAGAAGCTTCACAATATATAAGGCAAGGGTCCCCCCAAACTCATGAAGTTTCAGATTGTTCATTGACGCCTAAACATTTATTACTTGGAAATAATTTAATAAATACTATTTTAAGTAATAGTACAACGGATGATAATGATAATAGTTGTAAAATAATCAAAATGACCAGATTAAAATATTGTGGGATTTCCAAAGATAAATTGATGAAGTCTTGCCACACAACAAGTGTGGTTGAAAAGAAAAAAATATGGGTAATTGATATGGTAACCCTTGGGGACAGTAGAATAGAAGACAGAGAATTGGAGAAGATCACAGAGTATCAGGGTCTGAAAATCAAAGCTGAAAGATTATGGAATGGACTGGCTATGGTGGTCCCAGTGGTTAATGGCACCACTTTCCTATAATGCATCATTTCACATTATTTATATAATCAATTTAAAAAGTCAATCAAGAACAATAATGGAACATTTGATACATTTGTTTTAATCTTGTAAGATGGCCACAGTCAGTAAAATAGGTGCTATACAAATTAAATAATAAATAAATAAATAAAATTATTAAAAACAGAATTAGCCCAAAATTATGGCCAAAAACAAACATGCCTTAAAAATAGGTAGGAACTTTTCTTATTGATAATGAAACTATACAAGGTACATATTGACATGCCTTAGGTATCAGTTTCTACTGGTGTCATGGACTTAGAATATCTGTATGTGCACATTAATGATGTGTTTGTAAAGGAACATAAATGTCGATAGGTTTTGTTAATCAGTGTGGGGTATTTGGATGGTATAAGGGAACATAAATTAACTTACGTGATGTTGATCTTTCCCCATTCTTACCAAGGCCAGATATTAGAATAAAGGAGAATGGTAGAACTTTTTGTTGCTGACACATAATAATCTTTAATGAATTTCAATTTTGTTTCTCTTTTTTTAGCTTTTATTTTTTCACATAAGATATTGCTATCAGGGTGGCAAAGAGCAATGAAATGAATTTCTTCCCAATTCCTAGTTAGCAGACAGTGCTAAATCAGAAAAAAATGAAAATAATAATTTGATATCATGTACTCTGCCTAATCATAGAAAATGCTTTTAATATATAAGGAATAGTTACTGATACAGTCATTGTTATCAACATTCTGTTTTTCTTAGCAGTACAGTTTAGGCAGCACCATAGTTTTCAATTTGTTTGTTTTTTAGCTTTATATTTTTGCAAGAACAGAAGAATGTGGAATAATAAAAACTACTGTCTGTCTTAAAGTTGAATTATTCATTATCATATGTTGCAGAAATGTTATTATGCCCCTCTTTTTTGTAAAGCACAAAAAATGTATCTTGTGCTTTAACATCAGCACATTTTTTCACCTAATCCCTATCATTTGCCAGTCCTATTGTGTATGAGGGCAAAATAAATGCACAATCTATTAACATTATGAGGCTAAAAAAATAATCTTAGAAATAATGAATGGGATGCGTGAGTGGATTTAAAATGGGATACCAATTTTGCTAGTCCTGTCATACAGAGATATCCTTAGCTTCATTGAAGTATTTTGTGTTTTAAAAATTCAAGCATGACATACAAAGTGTAGATTTTTCATGTGTACATTTTTATTAGTAATTCATATTGATGTATGAAGTATTGCAGTTTTCCTCTCTAGGTAATGAAAAAATATCACTGAGATGTCATACAGTATATTGAGTTGAGAATTAGTTCATACTGATTTGTGAGTTGTGAACCTTTTACCCATGGATAATTATCCAAATGTTCATCTCTAATTTATCTTGTAATGTCCTTGATATTTACTATGTTCTCCCAATATATGCACAATACATCAAACTGTAGCAAAATCAGAGCAGAAGGAACAGTGTTATCTTGGGGTATTTAACCCCCTGTGAATAAGCTGAATACTGTTCTTAACATATGCTTCTCTAGAAAGGTGCCACTATTTTCAATAATGCAGTATACCTGGGGTTCCCAAGCAGTTTCTAAAACAAAATTGCTAACTTCATAAGGTTTCATATACTTTCAGAGCATAGAACTAGCAATTCAGACCTGCCTAGTTTGAACAATCCAATTTTTTTAATATACAGGGCTTATCTTAACTGCTTTATTTCTTTCTTTGTATATAGAAGAAGCCAGGAAGCTGCAATGAAGGGCAGCTTCTTTAAAATGCAAACTGCGAAATGTGGTTAATTACTTAGAAATTAACCACTTTAATAAGTTAAGTTTGGCTTGTTTAGAAGCCAGTAATCTTGAATATTAGTTCATACTAATAGGAAACCAGCTTACTATGGCTTTTGTTTCAGCTCCTGGGTGAAAGAGAGAAATAGTAGTGAAGGGGTTACACAAATCTCATATATATCCATTTAATTAAGTTGGCTTTGATCAATACTTTGGCACCAATATTTGAAAATATCTGGTAACATTGAAATGCGCATCTAAATATGTTTATTCTAGAATTTATTCTGAAATGCGAATATATAAATGTGTAATCAACTCATAACTTTTTAAAAACTGACTAGGTATACTAATTTGAAATATTAACTTACATAGCTAAATAATAAAGATTCATTAGCCTTTTTAATGTAAAATTTTCCATTATATTGTATTGAAAATATGTTTTATTTCTCCTGATTTCAAACAGGGATAAACAGTATTGAATTTGATTTTTTTTAAATTATTGCTGTAAGCCAAACCATAGTAGCAAAATCATCTAAATTTAAATATCATACAATATATATATATATATATATATAATGCTGTTAAGAGAAACTTTTGTTAAAAATTCACAATAAATTCACTTGTCTTCCAAATGCTACCTGAACACATCACAAAAATTCTACAGTTCAGGGTGCAATGAAGTAAAAGTGAGTAATAACCACTGACTAGAGAAACATGTGGAATAAATCTATTTAATTGCATATTTAAGAATAGCTTTGCATTCATGTGGTGTGAACAGAACTGAATGCCCTATTGCAAACCCAATAATACCAGTGTCAGTGAGCCATGTGAGTTGTCTCTATGGGTTGTAAATTGGATCCCCTCAGTGACCAGTTAATGTTTTCTGTATTTACGGCTGTATTTCTGTTTTTCACAGCCACCGGGGCACTTTGGCAACATAAAAATTTAAAAATAATTTTTAGCAATCATACCGTGCCAATTTTTTATAGTTAAAGGGGCTCATTTAAATTGGAAAACCTGCTAGTCTGAAATTTTCATCTGAAGGATTACCACCAGCCAGAGCTACTTGTCTGATGAGGGTTTCACATGGCTTATCTAATGTGAAATCTCCATGTGGTATATAGTTTCATTAAACGGTGATCAAGAATACATTAGTTCAAAACAAGAAAAGGCAATGGAGCTTAATCCGCCAGGCATCTTGGCGCAACAACTT